AGGGAGCTGCCAAACCAGTTTGGAGGTGGTGGAGGTGATGTGGGAGAGGGACCAGCCAGGACGGGCATCCTTGACCCCTGGGGAACCCCTCTCTGGGGAATCCTGCATCCCCCACTCTGCGTAAGCCGCACCACAAATGTCGAGGCCACTTGGGGCTGATGCAATCGTCATTAATTAACACTCATTAGCAGAATGGGGACAAGGGCACGGGCTTGTGGCAGGCCCCCCACCGTGACAAAGTGCAGGCATGAGCGGCCGTGAGCTAAAAGACCCCGCCGTGGGCTACCAGAGCCTGCTGTGGGCTGATGGCTCTTCCTGCCCAGACAGAGGAACACACGCAAGCAAAACAGCCCAATAAAAGAGAGGAAAACCACCCCAACCATCGATTAAACAATAACATTAAATGGCAGAATATGATTTCATTTATTGCCGTAATGTGTCGCGTTTGCCGTGACTCAGGCGGCGCAGCAATTTCTAAGGCCATCAGCGGTAACCGAGCATTAGCCGGGATGAATAATTAACAATAATTTCATGGCAAATGCACTCGTAAGTAACATTAACGTTGAACATGCAGCTCGATCTGTTACTGGTTTTGCTTTATTTAGAGGGTGTGATTATTATTTTTTCCACCGCTGGCCCCGCTGCAAAGGAAGCAGCACCGGGGGATGCTGTGCTCGCTGCTTTATCCACCTGAAAAATGTCCTTACTGCAGCGTTTTTGGGGTTTAGGCAGTCGTTTTGTCACCCCATGGGCTCCTCTCTATCCAGGGAAGGGAGTCAGGGAAAGGAAAGGAGATCCATAGATTGAAATAGAAACAGATTTAATAAAATAATAATAAAAACTGGTATTAATATAAAGTACAGAGAGTTCTACTCAGCTGGTGTGACGGTCACAAGGTGTGATGGTTATGAGTTGGGGTGTAGGCTTTGGGTTAGAACAACAGGCGAGACCCTCCTGAGACAACAGCCCTCGAGGAAAGAGGGCAAACCCCCCAGTTTACAGTGGGAGGGACATTTTTGGTGTGGAATAATTCTGTTGGCCAGCTTGGGGTCAGCTACTTTGGGTTTTGATCCCCCAGTTCCTACACCCGACAAACTCCAACCTGCTAAAGACCCTGATCCCTGCAGCATCCACACTCCAGAGCCAGCTGAAAACTAACCCAAAATGTCTTTATCAGCTTTATTGCCCTGTAACCGAGTGCTGCAGTCTTCTTAGAAACAGAAAATTGATTCCATGATCCTGTCCCTGCAAAACCAGGACAAGCCTTTACCGTCGGAGCAGACAAGCTGTTCTTTGTGCCTCTGACTTCAAGAGCTGGGGCTGGGCTGTTTGTTTTCCAGCAAGCTTGGCTGCTGTTGATCAAGGCTGTCCCCAATTAGCAAAATCCCGAGGTGTTCCCAGTGCTGATGGCTGCAGGGATGGGACCCGCAGCAACCACCCCGCTTCCACACATCAAAGCGGCAGTCCCCGTTGCGAGAGACCCGCTGAGCCGGTTGCATTTGTTGTGGTGCGGCCGCTCCATGAAGCTCTGGGTGTTTTGCACCATCCAGGCTTGGGCTCAGCACTCGGTGGCTTCTTTAGGGTGGGTTTTTGTGCTCGGAGGAGCTGATGTTGCCCCACTTGGTGCTGCAGAAACAGGGGAGGGCCTGGAGGTTGCGGCATCCCCTGGGGTGCAGAGCGCTGGTTTGAGACACAGGGCTGGTGTTGGTGGGAAAGCAAACGAACTGGGGGTGTCAGGATAAAAGGTGACTATTTCCCTGACTTTGCATCATCATACAGGGGGTTGTATTTCCTTATTGGGTGCCCAGAAGGCCCTGTGGATTTTGGCAGAAGTGATTTAGAGGAAACCCATCACTAACTCCAGCCCGGCCAGGGATGCGGAGGAGCTCGTGTGTGTGGTGGCACAGGTCGGGGACAGTCTCTAATTCCCAGCAAGGGCTTGTTTCTTCCCTGCCCAAAAAAACCTCCTGTTTGCTGGGAATGGAAGAGAAACGCTGATTTATGTCCAGCACCGCAGTGAGCGGCTGCCCCCGCTGCCGGCTCCCCGGCTCCCGTGACTCCCCCTCCCACGTCCCAGTGCCTGCGGGGGCATCTCCTCCCCAGGGACACGGGGACATGGGGACAGCCGGGATGGCCGGGTGCTGTGGGCAGGTAGGGAGCTGGGGATCCAAGGCAGGGCTGGGTCCTGTGGCCAAGGGCAATGCCCGGTTTAAGACCCTTTTGAAGAGACTTGGAGGTTTTCTTGCTGGTTTGGCAACTGCCTGCTTGGGACTTTCCTCTACAGGGAACCCGAGGTCAGGTCACTGGAAATCCCTGGGTGTTTTTAGTGTTTGCATCTGGCACTGAAGCCTTTCTTCCATCACTGCAGCGAATTGGAGCAGGGTGACGTGCCCTGGGCACGTACCCAAAGCTCCTCCAAGGCCTCCCTCATGCTGAGAGCTCCCAAATCCCATTGGCACCTTGTCCCTGTGCCCACACCGAATCAGTCAGCAGAGGGATGGCGGAGGGGGTGCAGGGACCTGCCCTTTGCTGGGACACCCAAATACCCAGCTCAGCTCTGGAAAACACGGGGTGTTTCCACTCCCCACCCAATGCCTTAGGGGAAACCTTCTGCCTGTGCCAAATGACACCCAAACCTTTTCACTGTAACCATGTGGCCTCTCCTGAAATGCCAAAATTGCAGGCGAGAGGCTGCTGGGGAGATCTGGCCCCGCTGCCCTCACAGGGTTTTACCATGGGGCAGGGAGCTGCTGCCTTCCCCAGAAATCAGACCCGATTTTGGACCTCACCACCTGCCCTCTTGGGTTTTTCACCTCAAAGGCCACAGCCCCCAGGTTCCTGCTGGAGCTGCAGCCCTACAGCATAGCTCGAATTCCTGATCCTGCTGATAACGCCCTGCAAGGGCAGCTCCAGGGTGAGGGGGGCACTGGGCTGGGGTGAGGGTGCCTGTGCCCCACCTCTGCACCCCCAGGCTCCCAGGAGGGTTCGGGTCTCCTGGACCCCCATTCCCATGGCCTCTCCCTGCCGTGTCCCCTGCCCTGCAAACCTCGCACCCCTTATGTGACCTCCTGGAGCCAAATAAAGGGCGAGTGGCTCCTTGTTCACCACGAGTGCAGGGAGCAAACCTCTCAGTGTCGAGCACCCAACGGGGCTCTTCAAAGGTGTCCCCATGGGAGGGGTGGCCCTGGCAAGGCACCGCATGCTGCTCCATGGGCCAGGAAGCGCCTGGGGGTACACCAGGGTGTATTGCACCCCAGGGTGTGCCGGAGCGAGGCCAGGAAAGCCTCGGGGCACCGCATAAACCACAGGCAAGAGGAAACACATTCCTGCCCTGGCCATGTCTGCAGAGGCACAAAATGGGGCTTCTGTGGGGGGAGAGAATGACTCAGCCCCCTGGGAGCCACCAGCTCCCCTTGGGGACACATCCTGGGTCCCACAAGGGCAGGGTCCCACTGCAGGGGTCCCACAAGGGCAGGGTCTTGCTGCAGGGGCCCCTGCTGTCACCCTCTGCCACCCACTCCGTGCCACGCCGTGGGAAAGGTCTCATCCGGGCCGGCAGGGCGGTGTCTGTGGTTGGAGATGCCGATGCGCTGTTGCAAAACTATTACTAAGGTAAATAGTTTTAAAAAGTGGGTTATGATTGCGCAATTTGTGATTCTTAGCAACGGTTGCTGACCCGTGGCTGGGGAATGGTGTGAACCTGGTGCCAGTCCCGCTCTTGCCCAGGATTTGCTGTGGGGTTCGCAGTGCCGAGGGGACGCGGCATCACCTGGCAGGAGCCGCTGGCGTTGTTTGCAGAGGAATCCGGCTCCGTCGCTCTCGCTGCAGGGCTCGACCCACCTTTATTGTTCAACCCGAGCGTGTGTGTGCATGTGCGCAGGCAGGAGCCTCCGCGGGAGCTGTTTGCCAGACTCACCCATTACTGGGAACAGGGCAAACCACCCTTCCCCTCCCCACACGCACCCGGCGCCGCCGCCGAAACCGGGGCACGCAGGAGGGCTGAGGACAACACTGCTGGGAAGGAGCAGCCCCGCTCCAAAAGACACCCGGATCTCACCACCTCCTTTACTGGCCGAGCAGGTACCTCCAGCACAGGGTGCTCACAGGGACATGTGGGTTGGGGCGATGGACACCGTGGTGCTAACGGGGTGCAGG